CTTCCCTCCTCTCCACCTTCCTCCTCTCCCCTTCCCTCCTCCACCTTCCTCCTCTCCCCCTTCCTCCTCTCCCTCCTTCCCTCTCTCCACCCCTTCTCCTGTCCATCCTTCCCTCCTCTCCATCCCTTCCTCCTCCCCCTTCCCTCTCCACCCTTCCCTCCTCTCCACCTTCCCTCCTCTCCCACCCCTTCCCTCCTCTCCATCCTTCCCTCCTCTCCTCCCCTCCTCTCCACCCCTTCCCTCCTCTCCACCTTCCCTCCTCTCACCCTTCCCTCCCTCCCTCCTTCCCTCCTCTCCATCCCCTTCCCTCCTCTCCACCCCCCTCCTCTCCACCTTCCTCCTCTCCACCTTCCCTCCTCTCCACCTTCCTCCTCTCCCCTTCCTCCCTCTTCCCTCCTTCCCTCCTCTCTTTGACCTTCTTCACCCTTCATTCTCCCCTCTCCCTCTTTTATCTCTATTTGTTTTTATCTCTGATAATGGACGGACTTTTGTTTATAGTTTAACGTTATTATGGTAAGAGGTGACGAGAAAAATACATACATACATACATACATATATACATACATACATACATACACAGACAGACAGTGGGTCCAGTGTGTGTATAATGTCGTGTGAGCCCAGTGTGTGTGTGATGTGTAGTGAATGTCCACTGTGTGTATGTCGTGGAGTCCAGTGTGTGTGTATGTGAGTGTGGGTCAGTGTGAGTGGTGTGGGTCAGTGTATGATGTGTGAGAGTCCAGTGTGTGTGTGTATGTCTGTGAGTCCAGTGTGTGTATGTGTGTGTGAGTCCAGTGTGTGTGTGTGGTGAGTCCAGTGTATGATGTGTGTGTGAGTCCAGTGTATGATGTGTGGTGTGAGTCCAGTGTATGATGTGTAGTGTGGTCAGTGTGTGTGTGTATGTCGTGTGAGTCGTGTGTGTGTGTGTGGTGTGGTCCAGTGTGTGTGTGTGAGTCCAGTGTGTGTGTATGTGTAGTATGAGTCAGTGTGTGTGATGTGTGATAAGTAGTGTGAGTGCAGTGTGTGTGTATAATGTGTAGCGTGGGTCCAGTTTGTGTATGTATAGTGTGAGTCCAGTGTGTGTGTGTATGTGTAGTGTGAGTCCAGTGTGTGTATGTCGTGTGAGTCCAGTGTGTGTGTATGTGTAGAGTCCAGTGTGTGTATGTCGTGTGAGTCCAGTGTGTATGTGTGTATAATGTGTAGCGTGGGTTCAGTTTGTGTATGTATAGTGTAATTCCAGTGTGTGTGTGTATAATGTGGAGTGTGGGTCCAGTGTGTGTAGCCGGGCAGTCTCCACCAGTGTCAACAGCCATCAGCATGACGTGATCAGAGGCGAGGCGTGAGGGCGAGGCGCGAGTTGTACCAGACCTCTCTCCTGTGTCTAACTCCTCACTGTGTCTGTCTCCTCACTTTATCCTTATTCCTCACTGTATCCTCCTCCTCTTCCTTCTCCTCCTGCTGTTCCTCCTCTTATTCTTCCTCCTCCTCCTCCTCCTCCTCCTTAGGGGATATTACACTCAGATGATGGTGTTTGTTTCTGCTGGTAAGAGTTGACAGTGGGTGGTGATGGCGGTGGTTAGTGCTGGTAGTTGTGGATATAATTGTATTGGCTGGTAATGGTTGACGGGAATGGTGGTTATTGTGGTTATGGTGGTAGTTAGTGTTAGTATGATGATTCGGGTAGTTATTGGTGATTGGTAGGAGATGATTGTGGTGTTGATGGTTATTGCAGATTGCGGTAATGTTGATGGTGATGACGATACATGGAAGAGGGTCCAATTCTCCTGACAGTCTTATTGCAGGTAGTGTGAAAACAACATACAGGGAGAAAGCGTGATAGATACTGTACTTGATTGACTTTACTTCCCCAACTGTAAAGTTAGGTATTCAGTCACATCGGGGTAAACTGAGGGTGATAGTGGGACGAACCAACAACTCTTAGTACAGAACGTGAAGGTTGTATCCACTCGGCCACCACAAATTAAGATTAAAAATGTGTGGTAACGGTTTCTTTAGCCCATAAAACTGTCAACAATTTATATAATCAGCATCATCTAAAGATTAACCCGTAGAATTAATCATCCTAATCAAACCTAACCTAACCTTTCCTAAACTAAACTAATCCAACCTAACCTAACCTAACCTAACCTAACCCTCCCAGGTAGCGTTAGAATGGTTAATCCTTAGATGAAATAAACTAGGGGACTAATCATCAAGCGATTCCCTCATATTACACATCATTACTGAATGTTAGACACCTGGATATTAATGGTAAATCCAGGTGATTCCCGCTGCGGAAATAAAAAATAACTCTTTTGTGAGAGCTGTTTCCTGTCTACCTTTGATGTAAAATTCATTGAAGTATTTTTTTAGGGGATATTTCCTGGCACACATCACCTGAGGTTCCACCGTGATGACCAGTTGTTGCCTCCTGGTGATTAGCCTAGTCACTGTGGGCGGCTGAGATTATGTATTAAATTTATACGCACGTACAGTACAGTTCAACATACACACGAACGCTAAAACACACACACATACACACACACACACACACACACACACAATCCTCCAGTCCTTCCATCACCTCACATCATCAACACAGTAATCACATCGTCAAAATATTTTACTCTGACAGGTAAAGTCTTCCGTGTACACCCTGTCCTCCTCCTCCTCCTCTCCCCCCTCCTCTTCCTCCTCCAAGGCTGTGTCACTCTTCATTCCCCACAGAGGAGGAAATATGCATACCACTCCCTGGACACTCCTCATCTGTGGGTGGGGCTTTTTTTCTCGTTGGTATTCACTCTCCTACTCGCTGGATGCTTCTTAATGTTTACGTAGAATAGGTTACCTTCTACTCCCTACCCCTAGAGAGAGAGAGACAGAGTGTGTGTGTGTGTGTGTGTGTGTGTGTGTGTGTGTGTGTGTGTGTGTGTGTGTGTGTGTGTGCGTGAAGTTTTTTTGTTTCATTGAGGCAGCTGTTGGTTGAAATCCTGGCTCACTAGATTTATCATGTTTTCGAGTAACTCTCCAGCGAGCACTGCAGTATTTTTTTTTCCCCCATCTCCAGTGTGTAGTTGGAGGAATAACTTTGTGTGTTTCCTGGTATATGTGTGTGTGTGTGTGTGTAGATGATGAGTAATGATGCTTCCGTGATGTTGCGTTTCCTGGTGTATAATTCTGTATAGCTGATGAATAATAAAGTTGACGTGATACTTAAAGGAAATCGAGATAGTTTACACTATACAAGATTCATTTGAGTTCATGTAGGGTTTTATTTGTGTAATGGAAGTAAACTTTATATCTACCTTACATAACCCATATGTAATAGTCATGATACAATTACTCTACACGGATACCCTCAGGAATATAATAGAATTGTTAATATGGGATTACAAACAAAGGATTACTAACATAGGATTACTAACATAGGATAACCAACATTTGTTTACTAACATAGGATTACAAAAAATGAATTATAAACACGGGATTACTAACAAAGGATTAAAAAAAATGGATTATAAACATAGGATTACTAACACAGGATTATAAACACGGAATTACTAATACAGGATTACAAACATGGGATTACTAACACCCGGTCTAGCCTTCACCACACACGCACTGTATCACAACAACACGTCTGCCGGTGTAGATCAAAGGGCCTCGATAATACTGTACATCAGAGTGTAATGTATCCCGATATAATTATATGTACACAAAAGTATAAACAGTATATTGGAACACGAAGCACCACTACCTACATGATATGTTAATTACTCAGATGTATACACTGTGGTACACGGAGAGAAATACACTGCAGTATAGCCTATAAGTGTACACCTTTGGCACTGTAATGTATGTACAATTGTAAAGAAAATAAGTACACAACAACATAAGATAACAGAATGATATGAATAAACATCATGAATTACCATACAGATAATGCTACAATAAATGAATCATACGAAAAGACCTTGTGTGAGTATTGCTGTAATGTTTTGTGTGTGTCTTCCAGTAGTGTGAAAATTACACTACACGCCGCTGTTTCGTGTGTGTGTATCTGCGTGCACACATAAGCACACACACAGGTTGTCTTCGGTTTGTGTGTGTCTGCGTCCATACATGTACAGTCACCTTCACTAATGCGTTTATAGGGGCTCGTCAGGTTTTGTGCAGTGTGGCAGCGCTGTGTTTGTTTTCATTCGACAAAAGGAAACTCGCAATAGTAAACACACTATGGAATCATATTAAAACAATATTAAAACAAATATCTCAAAGATATGATTTGTGGAATGTTTATATGACGAGTCCCTGTAAACGCGCAAGTGAAGGAGACTGTACATACACTGGTAACGTCTTGCACGCCAGGTTGGACAATTTCGCCACAAGTACCTGGTTTCCCGACATGTCTTTACCGTATCCACGTCTCTCAGAACTCTGTATCTTGGCTAGGGTATATTTTTTGCTCTGTATCTCCGCATATTTTTCTGTGACAAAGACAAGAATTTTACCTTCTAATATATGAAGGTTTCGCGCGGTTATTCCTGGCAACAGTCAGACCATCAACAGTGTGAGGGTGATTGAGACACCAGACTACAGCCAACCACCATCGTATTTCATTCTCTGGGTTTTTTATCGTAATTTTCATGCGTGTACCCCCAACAAGGCGGGTTAGTGTCCATCAAACATTTCCTGAGGCTACTTGTTGACTCGCCCGGTGGAAGACAAGTAAAGATCGTCTCCTGTTGTTGGTATTGACTCGTGCCAGAGAACCGCCTAGTGGTGATGGTCACAGATAGGTAAAGAGAATCACTTTGTCATGTTATCAACGCGTTAGTCTTCACACCAACTCTGACACAGACTTCCAGCGCCTCAGATAACATCAATCTTAACTAAATCCACACACACACACACACACACACACACACACACACACACACACACACACACTATTCATCATTTAAACCTGTTTTATATATTATGTGTTTGTCCCCCACAGTGTTGGTGGTGGTGAGCGACGAACAGGAGTACCGCCTCACCCGCTACCTCATGGCCAACTACGACGCCTCTGTCAGACCAGCCAGGAACTCCTCCGAGGCGCTCTCCGTGGTCTTCGGTCTCTCCCTCCACAGCATCATAGACGTGGTTAGTACCTGATGTCATGGTTGTCTGGTTTATAGTTTGTTTATGTATGTATGCATGTATGTATGTATGTATATATGTATGTATATATGTATGTCGCTGGATTGGCCGAGGCTAACCAACCACCTGGCCACCGCGATCACCAGAAACACCCCCCTTGATTTTTCCTGGAGAGGTTTGTCAAAATGTGGATTCCCAACATGTCAGAACTCGAGCACCAGCTTGATGACCTACACGCAACAAACAGAGCGCACGTTGAGTTATATTGATGGTGTGCACAGAACTGAATGTGTTTCCGCTGGTGGAGTGGTGTGGGGGGAAACACGTTATTGTTCGCTGGTGGAGGTGTATTGTAGGCCTCTCGCTGGTGGAGTGGTGTGGGGAAACACGTTATTGTAGGCCTCCTCGCTGGTGGAGTGGTGTGGGGGAACACGTTATTGTAGCCTCGCTGGTGGGTGGTGTGGGGAAACACGTTATTAGGCCTCCTCGCTGGTGGAGTGGTGTGGGGAAACACGTTATTGTAGGCCTCCTCGCTGGGGTGTGGGGGAAACACGTGTAGGCCTCCTCGCTGGTGGAGTGGTGTGGATTGTGCCTCCTCGCTGGTGGAGTGGTGTGGGGAAACACGTGATTGTAGGCCTCCTCGCTGGTGGAGTGGTGTGGGGAAACACGTGATTGTGGCCTCCTCGCTGGTGGAGTGGTGGGGGAAACACGTTATTGTAGGCCTCCTCGCTGGTGGAGTGTGTGGGGAAACACGTGATTGTAGGCCTCCTCGCTGGTGGAGTGGTGTGGGGGGGAAACACGTTATTGTAGGCCTCTCGCTGGTGGGTGTGTGTGGGGAAACACGTTGTGTAGGCCTCCCTCGCTGGTGGAGTGTGTGTGTAGGCCTCCTCGCTGGTGGGTGGTGTGGGGAAACACGTGATTGTAGGCCTCCTCGCTGGTGGAGTGGTGTGGGGGAAACACGTGATTGTAGGCCTCCCTCGCTGGTGGAGGGGGGAAACACGTGATTGTAGGCCTCCCTCGCTGGTGGAGTGGTGTGGGGAAACACGTGATTGTAGGCCTCCCTCGCTGGTGGAGTGGTGTGGGGAAGCAGCCGATTGTAGGCCTCCCTCGCTGGTGGAGTGGTGTGGGGGGCACGTGTTGTAGGCCTCCTCGCTGGTGGAGTGTTGGTGCATGGTGTAGCTCCTCTCTGGTGGAGTGGTGTGGAAACACGTGATTGTAGGCCTCCCTCGCTGGTGGAGTGATTGTCACGGTCATCTCCCCTCTGGTAGGTCGTAAACACTGAACATAACAGACCACTCCACTGTTTCAGCAACATGTTTAAAACTGACACTTTTGTAACAGTGATTAATTGATCGACAATCCTTGCACTTGTTTCTTGATCAGGGAGGAGGGGGAAAGTGAGTCACATATTGACTCCCAGGTCGCTCCAGTAGCTTGGAGATGTATGTATGTATGTATGTATGTATGTATGTATGTATGTATGTATGTATGTATGTGTGTAAAGTTAAATATGTATCATACAACCGCTACGTAATACAAGTATACAGGTAAAATACATACATATTATTTACTCGATGACAACAAAGGTAATTATATACAATATTATTCACGTCAAGTCTTAGGTAACAATAAGGGTTTCTGACCTTAATTCAAATTTAAGTTTATTGCAAGTTTTATTAAACACTTCATAGCATTAACTCAGCCTCAGCCATTGTCAGAGAAGCTCAGACCCGGATATTACATTCTCACACAATGATAACACGCTCACTCCTCACCTCTTCCTTATATTTATTCCAACTCAAGAATTCCTCCAATGTTTTACCTGAATTTCATTTATAAAACACTACTGCAAGTCTACCTTTTACGACTTTAAGTAATATTAGTAGGTTTTAAGTTCGTAAATAATGAATGTTTTTAAAAATATGAGTAGGATTAAAATACTAAAGACTAGTTTATGATGAGAGGAGGAATTAAGGCTCGTATATCTCAATAATTCACGTTAATGTAATTTTAATGAACGTCAAGGTTATGGCAGCTGGGAGGATGACTTGGCGAGCCTCCACAAAGTTGGCTTAATATCTCTCAAAATTTTCTCTTGACAATGAAATAAGTTTTAATATTTCAAATGACATTATTGGTAGGAATATTCATCACACCTTTGTTATATAATATACGAGGATAAATATTTTCACACCTTTGTTAAGTATAAATATACGAGATTTAGAGTCATTTCACACCTATGTTATATAATATACGAGGGGATGGAGTCATTTTCACACCTTTGTTATATAATATACGAGGGGATGGGGTCATTTTCACACCTATGTTATATAATATACGAGGGAATGGGGTCATTTTCACACCTTTGTTATATAATATACGAGGGGATGGGGTCGTTTTCACACCTATGTTATATAATATACGAGGGAATGGGGTCATTTTCACACCTATGTTATATAATATACGAGGGGATGGGGTCATTTTCACACCTTCGTTATATAATATACGAGGGGATGGAGTCATTTTCACACCTTTGTTATATAATATACGAGGGGATGGGGTCATTTTCACACCTTTGTTATATAATATAGATGGGAGATGGGGTCATATAGTCCTACCTCTCTCCTCCCACGTCTATATATATAATACCACCACCGTTCAATTATAGAAAAATGGAACTTAACGGATTGAGATGAAAACTTGGTATACAATTTCCTCTCATAAAACAGCTAAGTTGAGTTTAACTATTCGTTCGTGCCTTCTTTATCACCTGAGTCATGACCTTCTGTTCGACTTATACACTCTCTCTCTCTCTCTCTCTCTCTCTCTCTCTCTCTCTCTCTCTCTCTCTGGCACAACCTTATTGCCTCTCTTCATTTGTTGTTGATGAGCAAATACGTTAATGATGGAATTATCTCTATAGGTAGTTAACGCACTTTATAATTAACTTATTTACTAACTACTAACTTGATAGCCATTTATAACCAATTAAATAGGATTATCCATTCCCCTTAGCATGGTAATAGTGTAATCAAGGGGTTAAGACAGTCTTCCTCATACTTCAGGGGTCAAGTCATCGAACTCATGGGGTTAGGTCATCTTACTGAGGGGATTAAATAAGTCGTACCGAAATGGTTAAGATATCATTTCAAAGGGTTAAGTCATCGTACTCAAGGGAGAAAGTCATCATACTTAAGGGGTTAAGTCATCATACTCAAGGCATCATACTTAAGGGATAAAATCATCGTATTCTGGTCAGGGAATTAAAACATAGACCACATAACAATTAACATGACAGAACAGGATGGAACTTTGTGAAAAATACATTTCTTGAAAATTGGAACAAGTGACCTCGTCATTTGAACTGACGAGTTGTTGTCCATGAAAAACTAATATATATATAAAAAACACAGAACACAAATTTAAAACGCAAAACAAACGGGGTCACGAGGACACGAGGTCACAAACGAGAACACGAGGACAATAGGTCACACACGAGGTCACATTAACAGCAGGTAATTACATCCTTCGCCAACATATCCTCACTATTAAGTCCTAACTATATTATACACGCAGGTGCCATTAAGCTGTAATTTAATCTAAATTTTGTTTCATGGTTTACTTTCACTAACTCTGAGGATAAAGGTCACTTATAAAAACTTTTAAAACAAAACATTTTATTTAGTTCCTGTGTGTGTGTGTGTGTGTGTGTGTGTGTGTGTGTAACAATCAGCCTAACAGACTAAGAGTTAACACATTAACCATAAACAGATAGTTGTCAGAAACACTCGTATAACTTTGATGTTTCAGTTAATTATGAGAGAAGGTACACAGTGACAGGTCCGCCCAAACACAGTCAACCAACACATCACTTCCTTTAGTAAATAAAGTCGTCAGAAAACTTACGGATCAGATGTAAAAGAGGGACATGAGCCGCCCTCAGTCAGCAGCCTCCAGTCATGCAATTAACAACTTAAACGGAGGTGAAAGGTCATAGAGATGGTCACCATGATAAATCTGACCTCAGTTATGACGTCACTACCAGGAACAAGGAAAATGACCCTAAAATAATTACAGTAATATTAGCAGCATGGCAATCCTCACCTGTATACAAAATCTAGATCAGGTAAACACCTGTGTAGGCATTAATCATACGGCCGGCAGTGCAGAAGCTTAAAACCAGGCCAGCGAGGGTGTGTTGCCGGCCGTCTAAATGAGTTTATCATACAGCCGAGGAGAGACAAAGAGACTGAACGTTCAAGTGAAAGTTTTAGGGATTAAGGGGAATTTATTTAACTTATAAATGCAATTTGTGCACGTCGTGATTGTATGTGTCAAGGCTGTCATGACCCATGCTGTTATTTGTGTCATACAACAACGTTTGTTAAGAGTGTCATGACTCACACTGCTGTGTCATACAACAGCTTTTGTTAAGAGTGTCATGACTCACACTGCTGTGTCATACAACAGCTTTTGTTAAGAGTGCCATGACTCTCACTGCTGTGTCATACAACAGCTTTAAGAGGTCATGGACTCACACTGCCGTGTCATACAACGTTTGTTAAGAGTGTCATGACTCACACTGCTGTGTCATACAACAGCTTTTGTTAAGAGTGTCATGACTCACACTGCTGTGTCATACAACAGCTTTTGTTAAGAGTGCCATGACTCTCACTGCTGTGTCATACAACAGCTTTTGTTAAGAGTAACATGACTCACACTGCTGTGTCATACAACATTTTGTTAAGAGTGTCATGGATCTATTAATTGCTGTGTCATACAACAGCGTTTGTTAAGAGTGTCAAGTGACTCACACTGCTGTGTCATACAACATGTTTGTTAAGAGGCCAAGACTCACACTGCTGTGTCATACAACAGCTTTTGTTAAGAGTGCCATGACTCACACTGCTGTGTCATACAACAGCTTTTGTTAAGAGTGTCATGACTCACCGCTGTGTCATACAACAGCTTTGTTATGTCAGGACTCACACTGCTGTGTCATACAACAGCTTTTGTTAAGAGTGTCATGACCTCACACTGCTGTGTCATACAACAGCTTTGTTAAGAGTGCCATGACTCACACTGCTGTGTCATACAACAGCTTTTGTTAAGAGGTCATGACTCACACTGCTGTGTCATAACAGCTTTTGTTAAGAGTGCCGCGGACTCACACTGTTGTGCCATACAACAAGGCTTGTTAAGAGGCCGCGACTCACACTGCTGTGTCATACAACAGTGCTTGTTAAGAGTGTCATGACTCACACTGCTGTGTCATACAACAGCTTTTGTTAAGAGTGTCATGACTCACACTGCTGTGTCATACAACAGCTTTTGTTAAGAGTGCCATGACTCTCACTGCTGTGTCATACAACAGCTTTTGTTAAGAGTGTCATGACTCACACTGCTGTGTCATACAACAGCTTTTGTTAAGAGTGTCATGGACTCACACTGCTGTGTCATACAACAGCGTTTGTTAAGAGTGTCATGACTCACACTGCTGTGTCATACAACAGCGTTTGTTAAGAGTGTCATGACTCACACTGCTGTGTCATACAACAGCTTTTGTTAAGAGTGTCATGACTCACACTGCTGTGTCATACAACAGCTTTTGTTAAGAGTGCCATGACTCACACTGCTGTGTCATACAACAGCTTTTGTTAAGAGTGTCATGACTCACACTGCTGTGTCATACAACAGTTTTTGTTAAGAGTGTCATGACTCACACTGCTGTGTCATACAACAGCGTTTGTTAAGAGTGTCATGACTCACACTGCTGTGTCATACAACAGCTTTTGTTAAGAGTGTCATGACTCACACTTCTGTGTCATACAACAACGCTTGGTAAGAGTGTTATGTTAGGCTTATAACACAAAAGGAATAAAAACGGATATATATATATATATTGTTCACAATCAACTAATAATGTTACGTAGCCATTATTTACTATGACCTCATTAAAAAGAGCAAGACTAATTTTATAAACAATAACACTATAAGGTAAACGTTCCCCCAGAGGACGCTTAAGTGTGACCACCAACTAGTGTAGTTACACACAGGGTGACATAATTATTCGTGATAACTCGATAATTTCGACTTTCTCACTAATTGACGCTAAACTTTCTTAATTATCAAAACTTATACCTATTTAAATGACCAAAGTTTGTTAACTAGGGGAGGGAGAGAGGGGGGAGGAAGGGGGAAGGAGGAGGAGGGAAGTCTACTATTGTAAATTCCAAAGCTGCTTCCCTCCACACTTGTAACACACTGGTGCACACAACAGGTCTGCCCGTACAGCAAATTTGGAAGGCAACACAACAGGTAAGCTGATTTACCTTTAAACTATTACCAGTGTGTTACGAGGCTCAACCTAACTTGTTGGAGCAATCCCCACAAGTCTCTCTCTCTCTCTCTCTCTCTCTCTCTCTCTCTCTCTCTCTCTCTCTCTCTCACACACACACACACATACACACACACACACACACACACACAAATGATCTCTCCTGGGGCGAAAAACACATACTTAATGTTGTGTTCCTCCACGACAGGTGAGTGGCACTGAGGGAAGGTAAATAGTGATTAAGTGATGAAGGGAGGAGGGAGGGAGGTGGGGGAAGGGGAGAGGAGAGTGAGAGCGGGGGGAGGAAAGACTGGAAGTGAGGAAGGGAGAGGGGAGGAAAAGAGGAAGAAAAGAAGGAGGAGGGAGAGGAAGAAAAGAAGGGGGGATGAAGGAGAGGGAGGAACATGAGAGGAAGGAAGAGAAAGAGAGGGGGGAGGAAGAGGAGGAGGGAGAAGAGGGGTGGGAAGGTCAAAGGAGGATGAGCGAGGAGAGGGCAGGAGAGAAAAATCGAAGGAGATGGAGAAAGGGGGGGGGAACGGAAAGACGAATGGAGAGAGAGAAAAATGGAGAGAGCATGAAGGAGGAAAGAAAGGAGGTATAGAATGAGATGGAGAAGGAAGAAGGAGGTAAAGGAATGAAAGGGAGGAAGGGAAGGTAATCGAATACATAAGTCAACCCGTAATTATCATCCCCACAAAGTATATTAATTCCGGTGGTCACGTAAATCTCTTGAATATGACTTCTACTGTATATGAACCTCTGTCCTGCGTGCCAGTGAGAAGTGATACCACCCTCAATGTCAAGACCTGACTGAATTACTCAGAATAGGCAAATTGTACTCCAAGCTTTGTCAATAAATTTGTTAACCGTAAATCTCTCTCTTCGAACTGAGAGAGACAGAGAGAGAAGCAGATAGATGAAAGATATGAAAGATAAAAAGATATATTATACAAAACAGATAAATATAGAAACAGAGAGAAAGGAAGAGACAGACAGACAGACAGACAGAAATGAAAAAAAGACTCCAAGACTATTAATATCCCGTCATCTGCTGAGTGGAGGAGAAACGGAGAACGACCACAGCTAAGACAGTGGGGTTACGTTGGTCCGTTCATCCGTTGACGTGACTTAAAGCGGACCTCACTGGTAGAGTATGAACTACATATAGGGGACATCTACCTGGGGGGGGGTCTCTGGAGATGACAGTACACAGGTAAATATTCTGGGGTTTTAATGTATATAATCTATGTATTGTCTGGAGAGGATGGGGTGTGGGAAGAAGGGGTGGGAGAAGTGGGTGTGAGGAGCGTGTGGGAGGAGCGGGTGGGTGGAGCGGGTGGGAGAAGTGGGTGGGAGAATGGTCGAGGCTCGGGAGTAATGTTGTGATGTGCCTTTAGGTGATATTAACCCCTTGAGCATGACGATTTAACCCCTTCAGTACGATGATTTAACCCCTTGAGTATGACGATTTAACCCCATGAGTATGACGATTTAACCCCTTGAGTATGGTGATTTAACCCCTTGAGTATGACGATTTAACCCCTTGAGTATGGTGATTTAACCCCTTGAGTATGGCGATTTAACCCCTTGAGTATGGCGATTTAACCCCTTGAGTATGGCGATTTAACCCTTGAACCCAATAACTTATAACCCCTTCTTTACTATTATTTAACCCATTGTGTACGGTGACAACATAGTCAAGGAAACAGTTAATCCTAGTCGAAAGATTAAATCATATTATTCAACGGATTAAGTCATCGTAATCAGGAGTTAAGATCTTTTACTCATTAGCATAATATCTTGTACACACCTCAAGGTAATTTCCTCTATTACTGAAACACCTTCTTGATAATATTACTCTAAGTTAATGGCTGTTCTTCATGCTATGGTCAGGCCAGAAGATACCTTAAATTCTGTTATTGTTCAACTTTTATTGATATTGGAGAGAACTATTATTTAGGGCTGAACAATAAACCTTTTTTTTTGTTCTCGTACACGTCAGCATGTAACTTTTAATTGTTATTACTTCAATAAAGAGTCAATGAAAAAGTGGTGGTTTTAATTGGATTTTTTTTTTGACGTATGAAATATATGATTACAGCATGTTGTTACCGGAAGTCTCAGGGAGTGTAACACAATATCCTGCTTCATCTACCACACTGAACTCTTGACCTACCACACACAATAACTAGGAGAGTCTACCACAATAACCACACACAATAAGTAGGAGAGTCTACCACAATAACCACGCACAATAACTAGGAGAGTCTACCACAATAACCACACACAATAAGTAGGAGAGTCTACCACAATAACCACACACAATAACTAGGAGAGTCTACCACACTAACCACACACAATAAGTAGGAGAGTCTACCACAATAACCACACACAATAAGTAGGAGAGTCTACCACATAACCACGCACAATAACTAGGAGAGTCTACTACAATAACCACACACAATAAGTAGGAGAGTCTACCACAATAACCACGCACAATAACTAGGAGAGTCTACCACAATAACCACACACAATAAGTAGGAGAGTCTACCACAATAACCACACACAATAAGTAGGAGAGTCTACCACACTAACCACGCACAATAACTAGGAGAGTCTACCACAATAACCACACACAATAAGTAGGAGAGTCTACCACACTAACCACGCACAATAACTAGGAGAGTCTACCACAATAACCAGACACAATGACCAACACGTCTGCCACGATAACCAACAAATCTGCCCCACAGGACGAGAAGAACCAGATTCTCACGACCAACTGCTGGCTAACACAGATATGGACGGACGCTCACCTCACCTGGAATTCCTCTGACTTCGGCGGCATCCAGGTGATCCGAGTGCCCTTCCAGCGTGTATGGAAACCTGACATCATCCTCTATAACAAGTAAGGCGATAGTCTGGTGTGTGTATGTATGTATGTATGTATCTATGTATGTATGTATGTATGTATGTATGTACGTGTTTTTTAGAAGGTGTATTTTTTAGTGTGTGTGTATACATGATCGGACGTGTGGTTGTTGTACTACCATATATGTTATAGTGTGTGTGTGTGTGTGTGTGTGTGTGTGTGTGTGTGTGTGTGTGTGTGTGTGTCTGCCTTATTGTGTATAAAGAAGAATTAAAACATCGTATAGCAACAGTATTCCTATCCATCATTCACCAACTCAAAACAACTTCACGAGCCATTAGAGGTGGCAGCCCCGAGTCACTTGTCCCGTGAGTCAAGGAGAGAAGAGACAGGTAAACACGTAGCCTCCTGGACATGTGTCTCGTGTTTCCTGTTATGAGAGGAAGTAATACAAGAGAGACAGACAGGAGGAAACTGGACACATTTCCGTAGTCAATATTATATACCACTTGAGATAGCCCTAACCACCACCACCACCACCACCCACCACAAGTGACAACCACCATCATAAGTGACTACCACCAACCATGGCTACCACAAGCTACCACCACAAGTTATCACAACTAACCACCACCACCACCACAAGTGACACCCAACAACCCCCACCATCACAAATAGCCACAACCAAACACCACCAACCACCACCACTAACCCCTACCACCACAAGTTACCACAACTAACCACCACCACCAACTAAAGTTCAGTACAGGTCCAAACAGGAAGCATATCTCTACATGTCCATATTCATCACAGTATAAGAATTGACATTTATTCATTACCCTAAAATTCGAAATACATGAAAATATGGAATATAAAACATTGGTACAGTGGAGGTGACACGAGGCAATCATCCCCACATTCATCTTACTCAATGGCCCAACAAACATGGTTGATAAGCCCTCACACACATAAACACAGATGACACAAAAATGATATAGATTGATCCATGAATTAACTGTTGAATTAATAAGGAGGAATCAGCGAGGAATAACTCGATTATCATCACACCCATATACATGATTTATGCCACGTGTCTCATTCACAGTTGGCAGGGATGACACGCACCAGACTACAGTAACTTACAGAGAACAGTAACACGATAAGATTCAAACACTTTTATGATAATTCACACCATCAAGGAGTACAGCACTGTAACCCTCTGTACCCTTACTGTACTTCATAGAGATCTTGATAACAACGATAGAGCTTAAAACTTCCGCGTCTTTAATAATTGTATATATCCATTAATATATAAACGTCTGCGGTCATTGGTCCCCCACGTCTCACTTCCTAGCCAACACATTACATTTTTTTTATAGGGATTAGCCCACCCGGACACAGGTCACTGACCCACATCGGGGCCTGGGGGGAGGATTTGAACCAAAAATGAATATAGAAATGGAAAAAAAATAGAACAAGAGTGAAAAACGATATACTGTATATGTTGTGTTATCAAAGTAAGAGAAACAATTGAGACCCTGCAATTGTGTGTAAATGGGGCAGAAAGTCAGATCAGCAACCTGGGACTTGGTCACAATTTTCGTGATGCCATATGGCAGCAGGGTCTACCATTAGACAACACATTATGTTTCCAATATCGTCCCAAGCGGTAGTTATTATACTGAGTCTTGGATATAGAGTCACCAGACTATACTTATCTATGAATGGCTCAAATACTCTCACAGTATACTGAAATTTTTTATTCACTTTGCTGTTTGTCAAATACAGACGACATAAATTAGCTTGTAAATAAACAAACACGAAACAAGCAATATGAATTATTTATTCACTTAGAATATAAATGTATTCCGTCGCGATATTTGTTGGCGAATATTATACGTAGATATGTGTGGAAGCAGAGCAGCCATTACGATATTATAAGTATTAAGGTCAGCTGGTAGACCGGATGGTGCTGCTTGTTAACCTATGCATGTGAGGGTTAAAGGTTGATGCGGTACCCGCGTCCAGATGAAAGATGTATTGAATTCAGCGAGTTGTGTCATTATTAAATCTACCCCCCCCCCCTCCCCTCCCCACCAGTAGAGAGTGTGTTTCTAGTGTTCACAATCAGTACTAGTGACCCAGTACGTGTACATCTACTACTCTCTCCTCAGCGCCGACGCCCAGCACTCGGCGGCGACCATCAACACCACGTGATCGTAACGTCAAAGGGAGTAACTGGCTCACACTTACTCCAGCTATCGTTCCTCCCAGACATGAACGTCGAGTACTTCCCCTTTGACATCCAGTCCTGCAAGATGATGTGGGCGTCCTGGACCTACGACGGATACCAGGTAGGTCATGTACTTATGTTTAATTAGAACCTGTTACCTGCCTTGGCCATAACTACAACAAGTGAGTCATTCATTCTCCACCTTATACTATCATACATTGTTATACACCTGGTCACGTCCTCCACAACACCTGTCTCATACATTAAGCTATACACTTGGCCACGTCCTCCACAACACCTGTCTCATACATTAAGCTATACACTTGGCCACGTCCTCCACAACACCTGTCTCATACATTAAGCTATACACCTGGTCACGTCCTCCACAACACCTGTCTCATACATTAAGCTATACACTTGGCCACGTCCTCCACAACACCTGTCTCATACATTAAGCTCATCAGATTCTTCACCTTGCCTCCCTTACCTGTCCATTTACTCTCACCAAATTCAATTAAACACTATAACGTTCATCAGACACATGAATGATACGGCGCCTCTGTTTTAACTTCATATAAACATTATAATATATTGTTGATCAAATTACTAAGTTAATATACCTACCCTTTCCTCCCTTACTTTGCCATTTATCTTTACTAAATTCAATCACTATGTTTATCTAATGTTTGATTCATATTTCATCTCCGCTGTTGTTTTGTTGTAATACATCAATAGGGAAATATACTACAATCGTTTATGAAATACGTTGGATCAGCACAATATTCTGACACGACAACGAGGAGGTAAGTTTTAGGTAATGTCACTCTCTTCTTGGTATTACTATAGATGTGATATTTTTGGATGCGTGGTAATTAATCTTAAGTAAAAAATAACCTTAGCCTATGATGGAATTTTTCTTAATATATTTCTACCGTAAAATAACTTTAATATAATCCTTTTTTTAATATAATTTCCGTGTAATGTTATTCAACCGTAATATGATATTTCTCCAGTAGAATCTTTCTCCTCATATAATTTTACCCAGGTGTAATTTTTAAACAAATGTTATACAAGTCACGTGTGAGGGTAGGTGAGTGACAGGTCAGGTGTGAGGGCAGGTGAGTCACAGGTCACTGAGCCAGGTGTGCGAGCAGGTGAGTCACAGGTCACTGAGCCAGGTGTGCGAGCAGGTGAGTCACAGGTCACTGAGCCAGGTGTGAGGGCAGGTGGGTCACAGGTCACTGAGCCAGGTGGGTAACAGATCACTTAGGCAGGTGTGAGAGCAGGTGGGACACAGGTCACTGAGCCAGGCGAGGGCAGGTGAGACACAGGTCACTGAGCCAGGTGTGAAGGCAGGTGGGACACAGGTCACTGAGCCAGGTGTGAGGGCAGGAGGGACACAGGTCACTGACCCATGTGTGAAGGCAGGTGGGACACAGGTCACTGAGCCAGGTGTGAGGGCAAGTGGGTCACAGGTCACTGAGCCAGGTGTGAGGGCAGGTAAGACACAGATCACTGATCACAACTGCTCTTTCAGACAACACTGAGTCCAACACCTGCCTCCACGCTGATTGTAAGACTTCGTGGACCTTACAAGTCCATGCTGGTCCTTTTAAGTCCATACTGAACATTCTCTAAGATATCGTACTATAGGCAATAAGCTATCGTATACAGCTGATGGCTGATAACGGCTATACATGTATAAGTGCAGTGAGTAGCCACCTTGATTTTGTGCAGAATAGTGCAAAAAGAAGAGAGAAAAGGAGTAAGAAAAAGACAGATAAAAGTGAGAGAAATAAAAACGATGAGTGAGAGACAAAGAAGATGAAAATGAAAGAAAGGAAAGAGAGGGTGAGAGATGTTACATTACCCTTCTTACAGTCGTTGTAAATGTGTGAACTGGCACAGTCTACGTGTTTATATACCCGAGTTAAAACACAGAAACACTTAATAACAACATCAAGTGCGGGAAGAGAAGAGGAGAAAATAAGGGGCATGAGAGAGCAAAAGAAAGAAATGGGGACAGAGAGTGCGTCACGTTCCAATGGAAAAATATTCAATAAATGTCAAGAAAGAATTTTTTGCTTTTCTTTATTCTGGCTGAATAACTTTTCAAGTCTCTAAAGTCAATAAACTCAAGTAAAACGGAAGACTATATCCCCGTCACGCACGCACGCACGCACGCACACGTGTACATATTCCCAAAATGAAATAAACATCGTTGACTTTAAAGTTAATCCTACATAGAAATAAGAATGTTAAATATATTTCTGAATATTGCCACAGCCAGAGACACAAACGAGAAAATATAGAGTTGTGAAGAAAGAATTATGACCAAAAAAGTTACTTGAACCTCACCTAACGTTCATATATAGTATTATAAACATTTAGAGGAATATTGATGATAAAATAAGTTCATATCTCTTGACACGTATGATTGAAATACTGAAGTGTAATATATATATGTTAAGGGAAACTTTATCTTTTATGGTTTTTATAGTGAGAGAGAGAGAGAGAGAGAGAGAGAGAGAGAGAGAGAGAGAGAGAGAGAGAGAGAGAGAGAGAGAGAGAGAGAGAGAGAGAGAGAGAGAGAGGAGAGAGAGAGAGAGAGAGAGAGAGAGAGAGAGAGAGAGAGAGAGAGAGAGAGAGAGAGAGAGAGAGAGAGAGAGAGAGAGAGAGAGAGAGAGAGAGAGAGAGAGAGAGAGAGACCCATAACATGTTTTAAGTTTAAAGTTGTCAGTATATATCTATATTATTTTATCATCATCATCAGATACAATACATCTACCCAATAAAACACCAGAGAAGAGCCTTACAATACCACAACTAACATCTCAAGATTCATCACATCTCTTCAAAGCTTCACAAAGAACAACACGAAAGGAAATATAAACATACAACTAAACCTCTAACATAAAAACAAAAACAAAACACAAACTATCTAGACCATCAATGAAACAACAACAAAACAATGTGAGAACAAAGAATAAACACAACAACATTTCTGTATCTTGTCTCTATCTTGATATATAAGATAATAATTACGACACTAAAATTATGATGTAATTGACTTCCTAGCAATCATCCCTCGGCGTTGACTCACGAGTGTAAAATAATAAAGACTTGACTCACAGACTAACTAAATGACTCAGCTATCAACAATAACATTTATTTCACATTCTAACAATATTTTCCACTGGGTGTTTAACAAGATCTTCAACACGGATGTAGACAGACAGACAGACAGACAGACAGACAGACAGACAGACAGACAGACAGACAGACAGGTAGACAAGAGGGGCTGAGTGATGGTGTTAGTTTGGTACAAGTGACAGACAGACAGACAGACAGACAGACAGACAGACAGACAGACAGGCAGACAAGAGAGGCTGAGTGATGGTGTTAGCTTGGTGCAAGTTAGACAGACAGACAGACAGACAGACAGGTAGACAAGAGGGGCTGAGTGATGGTGTTAGTTTGGCATGTAAGTGACAGAGACAGACAGACAGACAGACAGACAGACAGACAGACAAGAGGGGCTGAGTGATGGTGTTAGATTGGTACAAGTGACAGACAGACAGACAGACAGACAGACAGGACAGGCAGACAAGAGAGGCTGAGGATGGTGTTAGGCTTGGTGCAAGCGACAGACAGACAGACAGACAGACAGGTAGACAAGAGGGGCTGAGGATGGTGTTAGCTTGCCATGGACAGACAGACAGACAGACAGACAGGACAGACAGACAGGCAGACAGTAGACAGGTAGACAAGAGGGGCTGAGTGATAAAAGTTAGTTTGGTACAAGGATGGCATGGTGACACAGACAGACAGACAGACATAGACAGACAGATGCAGACAGACAGACAGACAAGAGGGGCTGAGTGATAAAAGGGGCTTCGGTACAAGTGACAGACAGACAGACAGAGACAGACACAAGACAGGTAGACAAGAGGGGCTGAGTGATGGTGTTGGGGTTTGGTACAAGTGACAGACAGACAGACAGACAGACAGACAGACAGACAAGAGGGGCTGAGTGATGGTGTTAGTTTGGTACAAGTGACAGACAGACAGACAGACAGACAAGAGGGGCTGAGCGATGGTGTTAGTTTGGTGCAAGTGACAGACAGACAGACAGACAGACAGACAGACAGACAAGAGGGGCTGAGTGATGGTGTTAGTTTGGTGCAAGTGACAGACAGACACAGACAGACAGACAGACAGACAGGTAGACAAGAGGGGCTGAGTGATGGTGTTAGTTTGGTACAAGTGACAGACAGACGACAGACAGACAGACAGACAGACAAGAGGGGCTGAGTGATGGTGTTAGTTTGGTACAAGTGACAGACAGACAGACAGACAGACAGACAGACAGACAAGAGGGGCTGAGTGATGGTGTTAGTTTGGTACAAGTGACAGACAGACAGACAGACAGACAGGCAAGAGGGGCTGAGTGATGGTGTTAGTTTGGTACAAGTGACAGACAGACAGACAGACAGGAGACAAGAGGGGCTGAGTGATGGTGTTAGTTTGGTACAAGTGACAGACAGACAGACAGACAGACAAGAGGGGCTGGTGATGGTGTTAGTTTGGTACAAGTGACAGACAGACAGACAGACAGACAGACAGACAAGAGGGGCTGAGTGATGGTGTTAGTTTGGTACAAGTGACAGACAGACAGACAGACAGACGAACAAGAGGGGCTGAGTGATGGTGGTTTGGTGCAAGTGACAGACAGACAGACAGACAGACAGACAGACAAGAGGGCTGAGTGATGGTGTTAGTTTGGTACAAGTGACAGACAGACAGACAGACAACAGACAAGAGGGGCTGAGTGATGGTGTTAGTTTGGTACAAGTGACAGACAGACAGACAGACAGACAGACAGGCAGACAAGAGAGGCTGAGTGATGGTGTTAGTTTGGTGGTGACAGACAGACAGACAGACAGACAGACAGACAAGAGGGGCTGAGTGATGGTGTTAGTTTGGTACAAGTGACAGACAGACAGACAGACAGACAGACAGACAAGAGGGGCTGAGTGATGGTGTTAGTTTGGTACAAAGTGACAGACAGACAGACAGACAAGAGGGCTGAGTGATGGTGTTAGTTGGTACAAGTGACAGACAGACAGACAGACAGACAGACAGACAGACAGGCAGACAGACAAGAGGGCTGAGTGATGGTGTTAGTTTGGCACAAGTGACAGACAGACAGACAGACAGACAGACAGGCAGACAAGAGGGCTGAGTGATGGTGTTAGTTTGGTGCAAGTGACAGACAGACAGACAGACAGACAGACAGACAGGCAGACAAGAGGGGCTGAGTGATGGTGTTAGTTTGGGTACAAGTGACAGACAGACAGACAGACAGACAGGCAGACAGACAAAAAGAGGGGCTGAGCGATGGTGTTAGTTTGGTGCAAGTGACAGACAGACAGACAGACAGACACAGACAGACAAGAGGGGCTGAGTGATGGTGTTAGTTTGGTGCAAGTGACAGACAGACAGACAGACAGACAGACAGGCAGACAAAGAGGCTGAGTGATGGTGTTACTTTCGCAAGTGATAGTCATTTTCTTATCGTTTAATTCAGCAGCTGTGATGGACGACGACAACCTGTTTGTCATTGGTGTTACACCTGTACATGTAGTTACCTGCCAGTAGGACCTGACTCATTGTAACCCTCTTCTTAACCATCTGTTACCACCTGTACCCCCTACCTAACCACCTGTAACCACCTGTTCCCCATCTAACCACCTGTACTCTTATCTAACCACACCTGTGCCCTCTATCAACCAATTGTACCCCATCTAACCACCTGTACCCCATTCAACCACCTGTACCCTCTATCTAACCACCTGTACCCCTATCTAACCACCTGTACCCTCTATCTAACCACCTGTACCCTCTATTCAACCACCTGTACCCTATCTAACCACCTGTACCCTCTATCTAACCACCTGTACCCTCTATCTAACCACCTGTACCCTCTATCTAACCACCTGTACCCTCTATCTAACCACCTGTACCCTCTATCTAACCACCTGTACCCTCTATCTAACCACCTGTACCCTCTATCTAACCACCTGTACCCTCTATCTAACCACCTGTACCCTCTATCTAACCACCTGTACCCTCTATCTAACCACCTGTGCCCCTGTTTCATCCCTCGCAGCTGGACTTGGTGAAACAGATGGACGAGGGCGACATGTCCAACTACAAGTCCAACGGGGAGTTCGACCTGGTAGAGTTCACGGCCGCCAAGAACATCACCTACTACTCCTGCTGCCCGGAACCTTACCCCGACATCACCTTCACCATCAAGCTCCGGCGACGACCCATGTTCTACGTGTTCAACCTCATTCTCCCCTGTGTCCTCATTAATGGAATAGGTGAGTCTTAATTAATGGGTCAGGTGAGAAGTAATGGGATAGGTGAGTCTTAGTTAGTGGGATAGGTTGAGAAATAATGGGATATGTGAGTCTTAGTTACTGGGATAGGCGAGTCTTAATTAATGGGATAGGTGAGTCATTATATCTTACGGAGTTAAATGGTAGAACCGACACCATACTCTAACACACTTCCTCACATTCTCACGCACGCACACACTCTAACACTCTCGTGCACTCTCTGACAAACACTATCGCCCACACACTCACACATTCTCCTTCTCTCACACACACCAACACACTCTCCCTCCTCACACACACTCCCTTCCTCACACACTCTCCCTCCTCACACACACACACCCACACACTCTCCCTCCTCACACACACACACACACTCCCTCCCTCACACACTCTCCCTCCTCTACACACACACCTCTCCCTCCTCCTCACACACACACACACACACACACACACACACACACACACACACACACACACACACACACCCACACACTCTCCCTCCTCACACACACACACACACTCCCTCCCTCACACACTCTCACACACTCACCCTCCTTCACACACACTCTCCCTCCCTCACACACTCTCACACACTCTGTCACTTCCCCCCCACAGCGCTGCTAGTGTTCTACGTGCCCAGTGAGTCGGGAGAGAAGGTCACCCTGGGCATCTCGGCGCTGCTCTCAATGACTGTTTTCCTCATGACCATCAGGGAGTCGCTGCCCCCCACGGAGAAGACCCCCCTAATAAGTAAGTGGCGGTGATTAAATAAGTGGATGATCAGTAAGTGGTAGGGGGTGGATTTTAAGTGGTAGGGGATCAGTAAGTGGTAGGGGTTGATCAGTAAGTGGTAGGGGTTGAGCAGTGAGTGGTGGGGGTTGATCAGTCTAAGTGGTAGGGGATGATCAGTAAGTGGTAGGGGTTGATCAGTAAGTGGTAGGGGGTTGATCAGTAAGTGGTGATCAGTAAGTGGTAGGGGTTGATCAGTAAGTGGTAGGTGTTGATCAGTAAGTGGTAGGGGTTGATCAGTAAGTGGTAGGGGGTTGATCAGTAAGTGGTAGGGGTTGATCAGTAAGTGGTAGGTGTTGATCAGTAAGTGGTAGGGGATGATCAGTAAGTGGTAGGGGTTGATCAGTAAGTGGTAGGGGATGATCAGTAAGTGGTAGCGTCTAATAAGTGGCTTTATTTATGTAGTAATGAAAAGTAGTTTTATTTAATTGATAGTGTTTCATAAGTGGTCTATTTCAAGTGGAATAGGTTCATAATTAAGTGGTAGTGTTTAATAAGTGGCTTTATTTAAGTGCTATTGTTAAGTAATTTATTTAAGTGAAGGGGTTTCTTTTATAATTCTTTAAAAGTAAATGGTAAGGCTTATAAAGTAGTTCCATATGTAACAGTGCAGGTAATTTATAGTTACAGCATTATTATACATTGTAATGTTTCAGAAGTAGTCCCATATAAGTGAGTTTTTAATGCCGTATAAGCATATCCCACCATATAGTCCCTTATAGCTGTTCCTTTATAAGTGTATGGCAGTCTAATGTGCCCTTGTAAGTGAGGGTGAGTGCCTTATAAACAGTGTCTTGCAGATACATCCTTGTAAGTATTGCATTGTAGTGTAATGATAAGTGAATTTTCTTTCTAGTGTATTGTAAGTAGTCTGATAACTAGTAGTCCTTTGTAAGTATCCATTTTACTACCTGTCTGACCTTTAACCTTCCTCACATGTACAGTACAAAGGGGTCGCCATATTCTACGGGGTCACCATACTCACACACACACGACCTCTCACACCCAGGAATGTACAGTTGAGGACTTGTCCGACTGTTCAGCATTGTCAATCCATCCTCTCCGTGAGGTGTGAACCCCATGAGTATCGACTCCTAAAAACCGAAGCATTCACCAGTGAGGGGAAAGGGGGCAGGGTGCCGGTATGTAGGGGTTGAGGAGAGTGTTCAGGGCGAGAGGGGTGGGAGACGTTTAATAAGTTACTTGTGCACTTACTATGCAGTATGTATTAAGGAAGGATATAAATACTGTATGTAGGGCAAAACACAATCACATTAAGTTCGTATTCCCAGGTTGTGCTACAGATCTGAAAGATTATATATATATATATATATATATATATATATATATATATATATATATATATATATATATATATATATATATATATATGACTGTGACCGTGGAACGCTAACCGCTGGACCACCAGATACTAAAAGCAGTCCTAGACCTCGTGGGGCCGGGTTCGAATCCTGGCGGGGTTGAGGTGTTGATTGTATGTAGAAGTCGTGTTTATTGGACTAATGAATATATATATATATATATATATATATATATATATATATATATATATATATATATATATATATATATATATATATATATATATATATACACACACCTCTGCATCTTGCTTAAACATACTAGCAATTGCAAGGAGGCAGCCAAAATATTACGAGTTTGAGACAATAGCTATTCGATCTTTTTCCTTATTTGCCGTCAGTTCAAAGCATTGTGTTATATAATTTTATACATTACATAGACTGATGTAGTATGGGATTTTATCTCATTATGCACCTAACTAACATGTGGAACTAGCCTCCTCAGGGTTATACATTGGGGCTTGCATCTGTCATTATAAAGATCCGACTGATTATCGTAATATGATATTTACACTTAAATATAATGGGTGTCATGGTAGTCTGCCTCCCCCTTTTCACCTTCCCTCCCCCGCCCTCCCACACCTTGACAATACCTGTTCAGTATCAGCACCACACATACACCATGACAGCGGATGCAGTACTCTTATTAAAGTGCAATGACAAATATTTGACATTAATAAATAGGTAATTCTCTATTATACTACATATAATTTATGATTCGAAACTGTAATAAACGAAGGACTATTAACCACTACCCATTGCTTAGCTCATAATCTTCCACGATATAATGATCAGGGAATTCTTTGATCAAAGACAGTATCAAAGTGAACATTTCCAATTATGTTCAAACTGCTAACACAACTTCTATTGTATCAGCTGAAAAGGCATTCGGACTGATGAAAGGAAGATGGAATGTGACGACAGAAATGCTTTGGGGTACTTTTCCGAAGGAACTAAACTAAGGAATACAGGGTAATAGTGCTTTACTTTCTGCTATACTAATGGAAATGCATGAACTTTATCATGACATAAAAAACATTTGAACTAAAAAAATTGTACTCCAATAAGATATATCTGTGTAATTTCCTTCATCCGTAAAAAAAAAGAGAAAATATCTCAGAAATAAACACCATATTTGCTCAGTCTTGAAATGAAAAAGAAAACTTTGCAGCTGTACCGAATAGAAAAATATACAGTAGCAATTATAAATTATCTTTCTTCGCATAAAAAGTGTGCATAAGTGTTGCACCAAAATTCATATGCAATTTTTTTAACTGATCATGAAAATAACTTTACAAAACTGTTGCATTGAAATATATACTGTACATGAAACCTTACCTCCCATCTCGAATAAACTTTATATGCAATTTAAACTGAAAACAAATACATAGGTTCAATATCTTTCATCTGAAAATAAAGTTTGCATGTGTTGCACTGAAAGACATATGTATTTTATCTGGGCCTGATAAAAAAGATTACAGTTGCCTTGTACTGAAAATTATTCTTGAACTTTAATTGCTATATCATAATTATATGTAGATGTAGTATGAAAAAAAAAAAAAAAAAAATATATATATATATATATATATATATATATATATATATATATATATATATATATATATATATATATATATATATATATATATATATATATATATATATATATATATATATATATATATATATATATATATATATATATATATATATATATATATGCTGATAACCACAAGGAAAGAAGAAAACACGAAGTTCCCAAGCGCTTTCGTGTAATTCACATCTTCAGGGGTGAGTACAGACTAAAGAGAAGTGCAAAACAAGGTGTATATATACAGAGGAGAGGAGATCAGGTCTGATATTGTATTTATTCTACTAATTTTAACAGTCGGTAGGTGATCAATTTCGTTTGCTGCAAAATCTTCTTAATTACAAAATTGTCCAGTTACTCAAATTCATGTTGAATGCTTCGGTATGTTTAATGAGACTAGATTCAACATGAATTTGAGTAATGGCATGTACAAACTGGACAATTTTGTAATTAAGAAGATTTGCAACCAGGTGAGAAGGTTGGGTCACCTTACCCTCTGACCTGACTACCGACTGTTGCCATGCTATTTAAAGATTAGTAGGGTCATTACCTAATACCTGACCATTGTGGACCTGGGCTCACCCTCCTCTGTATATATACACCTTGTTTTGCACTTCTCTTTAGTCTGTACTCACCCCTGAAGATGTGAATTACACGAAAGCGCTTGGGAACTTCGTGTTTTCTTCTTTCCTTGTGGTTATCAGCATATACCTAGATCACGCGCACCTACAGTGATTTACTTGGTATATATATATATATATATATATATATATATATATATATATATATATATATATATATATATATATATATATATACCTGTATATATATACAGGCATATATACCCTGTATACTGTATATGTCATCTGCAACTGAAAAAATTGTATTCATATTGTACTAAAATACATGAACCTTACCTCCACCTGAAAAAAACAACTACTACAGTACTTCTATAAACCTCATTCAACGTGTTACTTATACTTTTAATTAAACCTATATGTTGTAACCTAACCTAACATCAAATTAAAGGTAGCAGTGTTACAGGTGTTACTAGCCTTCATTTATCTCGGTACATGACGTTAACACCGCTAGGTTTCTTGTACTGTACGGTCTGCAGGGTTAGTAAGATGCACACAATAAAAAAGTCGACAACTTAATAAAGCAAGGCTCAAGATTCAAAGTTTATCCTCACTTTATAAATTAATGAAGATCAAATTTAACCATTATCTTATGGATCATACAGTAAACTCTTATGTTTATTTACAGTAATTTAAAAAATTTTCTTAGTGGATTTTAGTAAATTTCAACCCGACACAAATCATAAACCTGGACTTGCATATTCAAAACTGGACCCTAGTATAACCTTACCTAGTATAACTGATAAAAAATATAATGAAGTTTCAAACAATCTGGACTTTGTACTTACCACAGACGCTTCTGAAGTTCTAACCTGTAAAACCATAAACCAGCGTTAGAAACATTGTTTTTTCAGTAAGCTCAATAAAAAAAAATCGTATAAAACATTAAACTCCATCACAATACAATAGTTGTACCTCTTTGACTCTACTGCCAAGATAAAAAGATATCACTCACTGACGTAATGTCACACTTCAGGTATTGTACCAATGGCCTTCATCCCAGATAACAAAAAATAATAATTCAATCATCGACCAGTTAATATCATATGATTTTCACCTTTACTATTAACTAATACCACTGTCTTTAAAAAATAAAACTGTCATTTTCAAATCATATGTTTCCAAATAAACAGTAACAATGAGTAGCAGTGAGCTGATAAATTGTTTTTATTCAATGAAACCTTCAATGACTCCAATGACTGTAACAAACCATCTATGTTCTTTCCTTCTCCTCCTATACCACTGCCGACGCGCCTGTGACATTCTAGAAAATTAAAACAATATATATATAACGTCTATGATTCTAGCTGGAAGGGATCATTGACATCAGAGCGGAAATTTTGACATCAATTAATTATGGCTCGTTACTCCCGAAATTTAGATAGTTGATAATTTGTTTTAATTCAACAGACAGTGCCATTCAGGACTATTTTTTAACTAAACACTACAATTTAAATGGAAATGTAACACATTGCTAAGATATAGTTAAATTTTTTACTGCAATGTGAGTACAGTAATTAAGAAAGTGTTTAGTGATAACAGCTTTGTGATTTTACTGCAAATATTTACAAAATTTAACAGGTAGCTAATAATGCTAAATGATAAACTTACAAAATAACAAGCAAAAATATCCGACTTCGCTCGGATTAGGTATGTACAGTATTACTGTATATAACCTTGACTGCCACAGTTTGCCTCCCAGACACAGGTAACCACCTCAACCTAACCTAACTCAACTAACCTAACCTTCCTTAATCTAACCTAACCTCCCTTACGAATAGCCAACCCAACCTAACCTAACCTTCCTAACATAGATAAATCAACTCAGCCTAACCTTGACTGTTACAGTTTGCCCTCTGACACAGGTAACTACCTCCCGCAATCGCCGTGGCAAAAACTCAAAAGGGAAAGATTTTTCGTTCTTGCCCGGTCCATTCGGGAGTCCGTGATTAATAGTAATACCAAGGTGCACAACCTTGGGGCCATGGATTATATACTGTATGTGTGTAAAGTTTAAGGTCTCTATCTGCTTCCGTTTTCAAGCTAAGGATGAAACAGTCACAGACTCTCACAGACAGACAGTCACCTGGGGTCCGTGGTTAATAACAATACCAAGGTGCACATTCTTGAACTTTTATTTTTTTTTATGGGCATTAACCCACCCAGGCACAGGTCGCTGACCCACATCACGGTTTGGGAGCAAATATATTATAATAATTAATAATAATAATAATAATAATAATAATAATAATAATAATAATAATAATAATAATAATAATAAATAAAAATTATAAGAAAAAATAAAAAACAAAATAATATATTAAAAATAATTATAATAAAATGAATAAAAACAATAAAAGTTGTATTTATAGACAGATAAAGGCATAGACCAATACATTTTAAACAGATACCTAAAATAACCTAACCTAACACAGCCACTGTAAGTGACATGAGGAAAGCATACAATAAAATTATTGCGATCGAGAGTATGTCTGAACTGTATCTGGCTATGCATTTATCTGCCTATAAATACAACTTAAATATGCTGTAACTTTGTGTTTCTTATTTCTCCCAAAACTGAGTTATTTTTAGAATCAGTGTAAAAAACTGTACTGGTGTACCGATTTTCGGTTAAATCCGCTGCTAGCCCCCAAACACGGTGAAAAACTGATCATATGACACTAAAATGATGTCTCTACTTGCTTTGTACGTGAAGAAATTAATTATATACCGCAAATACTCCTCGGAAATATCTGCTGAGTTGTCGCATGTTAACGTCTGCCCAGTTTGTTTCCAACCTCCCGCTAGGTGAACGTTCTCTCACGTCTAAAAAAAACGTAAAATTAGACCACGGCGCTTCAGCAAAGTTACTTTCTTTTTCTTTTTACGGGGAATAGCTCACCCGGACCCACAACGGGACCTGGGGGGGGGGTGAAAAATAAGAGTAAAAAGAAATTATATATTGAAGAGAAAATTACTATATTAATCTACACCACGAAGATGTCGGAAAAACAGTTTATTGAAGTGAGACAGATTGTAATATTAATAGTATGGAAACACAACTTGTACCAGATATCAAAATAAGTACTTTCTGTTTAATATGGAAACGGGTCCGCCTACCAGTTGGGAAGTTTCGTTAGGTTAGGTTGGTTTCTTTGGTTGGTAAGGTCAGGTTCTATTAGGTTCTAGTAAATTTTGCCTCTTTTAAAATACTTACTATAATAATAAGAACATATGTGGAAAAAATAACGAAATTAATCATCGCCTTCTGGTGTTAACCGTCTCCTCCACTATTACCTTTCATTTTTTATTAAGAAATTTCGTCAGATAACAACTACCGCTGGAACATCTTGAATATTACTAAAAACAGTAACAAATACTCACTGGTTGTCTTGCTCGAGTAATCCTCAGGTCACTATATATCACTTAACTGAGATCATTTAACTAATATCACCTTTTTTTCACTTAAAGGCGCTATCACAAATTATCACTTCCCGAGATCGTTAATTTTCACTTCAAGAACACTAATTATCACTTAAGTTACACAAACACTAATTAAACATCTCAACACAATATCACTCGCTATATTATCACTTAACACACCATTCCACACCATAGCTTTTATCTTAGATGTTTAGAGCGTCATTATTCTAGCAATGTTTTAAGAAGTAGATGTGAGAATAAGTTCATGGCCGGCACTGGACGGGGACGGGGACCATTAGGTGACTCACTAAATTCTTCAACTTTTTATTTATCTATTTTAGCATCTCAAGTTCGCTTTCCCTTGTGGTATATGAAAAAAACAGTATTAATTAAATAAATCTAAATTGATGGTGAAAGAAATCTATTAGGTGTCATTTGTCTTTGTAATACTAAATATTTCATATCTTCTGGGAAAATTGTGGGCACAAATTGAACATGTTTAGAAAGTCATAATTTAACTGTTCATAAAATATATTTTTGACGATCCAGTGAAACACATATGATTATATTTATATATATAATATTACTATTAACACTAAGACAAATGTTGATTTTAATATTTCACAACTATGGGAAACTTTTCTTGTTTAGTAATGTGGCCTCCGATTGATGCGCCATCTATGGAGGGTGCGACATTATAAAGAACGTTTTGTTAATACATGGGTAACTATTTAAAAAAATAGAAATGGTTGTAAGTAGTGAGTAACTAATATATTTTATTGTTTTCAATTGTGCGTTTATTGCGCTATATGAAAAAACGTGGACAACAAAAGCTCGTTGAACAGGCTTTGTGTGAAATATAATAGAGTCTATCACTGCTTTTAGTGTCCTGTTGGCCCATAGGTAATGTTCCCCGGTCACAGTCATAAGATCGTGTGTTCGAATCCTGGCGGGTTGAGGTGTTGATTATATATATATATATATATATATATATATATATATATATATATATATATATATATATATATATATATATATATTCGTATATGCATAATATCACTCAGACTTGTAGCACAAGCTGTGAATACCAGCCTAATGTGCGTTAACACATTCTTATCATCATTTGTGTTTTGTCTCACATATTTATAGCCTTGCTTAATAATACATATTGCGCTGTAACTGCACAAGTAACTTAAACCTCTCCCATCCCTCTAGCCCCATAACACACACCGGCCCCTGCTCCCCTCTCTCCCTCACTCGTGAATGCTTCGGATTCACGAGTCGAGTTCACAACTTCACACCTGACAGAGAGGGTGGATTGACAACACTGAGTGTACCAGTCAAAAAACTCCCCAACTGAACTACATGTCACCATACTCACACAGACATGACCTCTCACCCTCAGGTATGTACTACGGGGTCACTATCTGCCTAGTAAGCTTCGCGTCAGGTATGTCCGTCGTCACACTGAACATCCATCACCGCGGTGTGAGAGGGACAGAGGTGCCGCGGCTCGTCAAGATGGTGGTGCTGGGATGGCTCTCCAAGCTGGTTTTCCTCCACTTCGAGCCGCCTGTGCTTCCTCCCGACGACAAAAATGTTCATCTCAACGTGAGTTAATACTGTTACGTTCACTCTTGTTATGGGTCTTGGTACTTGTGATATTAACTAGCAGAACCAGGACAATTAACGTGTGTGTGTGTGTGTGTGTGTGTGTGTGTGTGTGCTATAAAGATACGAACAGTGAGTGAAGAAACAGTCTGTGTTGCTCTTATATCATCCACCTGTACAGAAACAGAAACCAACTTACAAGTGTGACGAAATATAAAGTAATAAATTCTTCAGTGACCATCATACTCTCTGTTAGTCTTGAGGGATCACAAAACACACAGACCAACAAAGAAAACTGGTTTATCAGACCTTTGGTTGATTATGGTGTTTGTTAAGGACTCATATCAGTTTGAATAATCTTCATCACAATAGACAAATTTTTAAAACAGCAACAACAATAATAATAATAAAATACTACTTCTACTACTACTAAATAATAATAATAATAATAATAATAATAATAATAATAATAATAATAATAATAATAATAATAATAATAATAATAATAATAATAATAATAATAATAATAATAATAATAATAATAATAATAATAATAATAATAATAATAATAATAATAATAATAATAATAATAATAATAATAATAATAATAATAATAATAATAATGAACCATAACCCCCATGTGTGTGTCAGGACCTGAGACCAGACCGAGGTATGAGACTTGACTCCATCAGCGTTGAGAAGTTCCACATGACGGAGCTCGAGAACGTAGATCACTTCAGTGTATCTCCCAGGTTCAATCCCAGACGACACACAACGCCCAACAATGACCCCACGCCCACGCCTACGCCCACCATCACCGCCACTCAAACCTCAGGTGGGCGTCACTCAGTCACTAGTATACCTGCTGGTTGTCAATTTTACTTTTGCACGCTAATAGGAAAATATGAATACAAACATTAATAAAGACAGATTCATACACAGTTTAGCCACACGTAACTGTACACATGAGCAATTACTACAGTTAGCCACACTTAAACAATTACTAAAGTTAGTCCCACTTAAACAATTACTACAGTTAGCCACACTTAAACAATTACTAAAGTTAGTACCACTTAAACAATTACTACAGTTAGTCACACTTAAACAATTACTACAGTTAGTCACACTTAAAGAATTACTAAAGTTAGTCCCACTTAAAGAATTACTACAGTTAGCCACTCTTAAACAATTACTAAAGTTAGTCCCACTTAAACAATTACTACAGATTAGCCACACTTAAACAATTACTAAAGTTAGTACCACTTAAACAATTACTACAGTTAGCCACACTTAAACAATTACTAAAGTTAGTCCCACTTAAAGAATTACTACAGTTAGCCACACTTAAACAATTACTAAAGTTAGTCCCACTTAGACAATTACTACAGTTAGCCACACTTAAACAATTACTACAGTTAGCCACACTTAAACAATTACTACAGTTAGGCCCACTCATTGTTGCAGACTTCGAGCAGCAGTTCATGAGGGTGCTGAACAAGGTGTACCAGACCATAGAAAAGAACGAGATGAGACTTGGTGAGCAGGACCGTAAGGAGGCGACTAGGGTAGAGTGGCAACAGGTGTGTCTTGCTTAATGTTCTCTATATATGTGTCCCAGCAGGTGTGTAATATATATATATGTGACAACAGGTGTATCATGATATAAATTAATATACTTCACTGTTGGTTCCTAGTGAAAAATACTCAAAGGTTCCCGTTTTGAAATTAATCTGACTTGATCTGAGGTAATCCTGTCTGATTTTAGAGATTTACACGAGTAATCAGGTCAGTATATGCTATGATAAGGTCACTACAGTATAATATAGAGCCAATATATGTTATAAAGAAGACGTACATCAGATTAACTCAGAAACATCATCACACAAAATGGTCTCACTATATTATATGATCGTAATTATAATAAACTTGTTACATAAAATATTGTGAGAACACCTCGGTAGACACACTTCACTCCTCACCAACTCCTCCTTATTCGCTGAAAATAACCTAACCTAACCTTACATAAACTAACGTAACCTTACATAACGTATCGTAACGTAAGGTAACGTAACGTAACCTAACACAACTTTACATAACGTAACGTAACGTAACGTAACCCTGATCACTACCTGAGGTTGCTCTGACCTTCCTTCAAATACTTGCCGCAAATAGGGAAGACGTATGTGTATATGTGTGTGTGTGTGTGTGTGTATGTGTGTGTGTGTGTGTGTGTGTGTGTGGGTGTGTGGGTGGGTTTTTTTCATTTGTTTGTCGTTCATTTCAAATAAAAAATAGTTCCAGCATCACAACGTTGTTTCCAGACAGTTAGTTAAAGTTGTGTTTCACTTTATGAAAAATGAAAAGGAAAACAGGATAAATCTATTAGGTGCAAAAGTATTAATCAGAGGCCCTCCCTGCCAGCCTGGCACTGACCAACGCTTCCATTCATCACACATCGAAAAAAATATATTATTCGCTTTGATCTTTTTATCATGATTCAAATTTCATTATGCAAGAATTTTTACCCAAAAATATTAAACCGGAATCAATTGACGAATTACGAACGGTTAATTTCCCTCAATCCCCAAGAGGGAAGGGAGGAGGAGGAGGAGGAGGAGGAGGAGGAGGAGGAGGAGGAGAAGGAAGAAGAGGAGGAGGAAGAAGAGGAGGAGGAAGAGGAGAGATACGGTGGAGGGAGGGAGAATATTTCGATAGGCGTGTGTGTGTGTGTGTGTGTGTTTAGAGTAATAATGTCAATAAAGAGTTTTCCCGTTAGAGGCAGAACTTTCCTTACACATTTATGTTTGTTTAGAGACTCAGAGTTGTGCATCAATCAGAAGGTAACTGAGGCGTCAGGTGTTACTCTCACGGAAAAAAGTGAGTGAAAGGCAAGAAAATACAAAAAAATAAATGACATTAAAGAATAAAAGAAAGAAATTGTAATGGTGCAGACTGTCTTGTGCAGGTGTTAAACAGGTGTTAAGCAGGTGTTAATGAGTGAGGCGTGGTTTGTCGTGCAGGTGTTAGACAGGTGGTAAACAGATGCATAAGGTGTGTTGTGTAGTGCAGGTGCTAGACAGGTGGTAAACAGATGTATAAGGTGTGTTGTGTCGTGCAGGTGTTAGACAGGTGGCAAACAGATGTATAAGGTGTGTTGTGTCGTGCAGGTGTTCGACAGGTGGTAAACAGATGTATAAGGTGCGTTGTGTCGTGCAGGTGGCGCTAGTGTTCGACAGGTGGTAAACAGATGTATAAGGTGCGTTGTGTCGTGCAGGTGGCGCTAGTGTTCGACAGGTGGTAAACAGATGTATAAGGTGCGTTGTGTCGTGCAGGTGGCGCTAGTGTTCGACAGGTGGTAAACAGATGTATAAGGTGCGTTGTGTCGTGCAGGTGTTCGACAGGTGGTAAACAGATGTATAAGGTGCGTTGTGTCGTGCAGGTGTTTGACAGGTGGTAAACACATGTATAAGGTGCGTTGTGTCGTGCAGGTGGCGCTAGTGTTCGACAGGTTCCTGCTGGCGTGTTTCCTGTTGTCGACGGTGATCGCCACTACCACCATCCTCTTCTCCTCACCACACGGGCCATGACGTCACTTCGCCGCCATCTTCGGCAGTAGTAACGACACCTCCGTCAACCCTAACAAGCAATAGAGGTTTGTGAAGATCTTTTAAGTAATGTTTATGATACACTATGAAATGCTTCCTTATGTTTGTTTGTTCTTGTTTACATTATTATACCATTACAACGTTTATCCTATCTTGTTACTGAAACGTTTATTACAGTAGCATTATAACTTTTATTGCACTCTATCATTATAACGTTTATTAACACTGCTATTTCAACGTTTACTGTACACACAAAGATATTAAGCTTTCCGTTTGAACATATGTTTACTGGTGTAACATATGTGCAGCCAGAGACTCATATGACGACTACTGTAACAAATGTGTCACGGTGGACTCATTATGTTCGCTGGTGTAGCACATGCCTTCGCCAGGGACACATATTATGTCTCCACCATGACAACCACATTAGCAATACTAGAGTGTTATATAATGAACACTATATATTTCTTCGATGTGACGTACAAGAACAATGTGTCATAATGTCATGTAGATAGTTAGAGGGAAAGTCATTATTATCTTTGAGGTTAAAGGGAGGGATGTTGGCAAGTCTTTCAGGAGTGCTAGTGTCGGTGTGTCTAGCCGCGGGACTCAACTCACAGTATGATGAATATTCCCTTTTCTAAACTCTTATGTATATTTTTTTTCACATAGCGCAACATGAGTCACCGCCCACTCAGACGATCCAGCGGGAGAGGTTTGAGTCAGAAAGATGAGGAGACAGTAACGAGAGAGAGAGACGCAGTATATACAGCCTACCACAGTCCTCCCTACTAACACCAGGAAAGAAAATGGGAACTGTGAGTCGATATTAATTATTTGACTAACAGGAAGAACACAAGGTTGTTGAGTTTAACACGAGAGGAAGCACAACCAGGGGGAAAAATAATCCTGTCAGCCCTCTGTCTCATCCATGAATCCCGAAACTCATGAACCTGTGAACCTGAGACATCACACAGTGCGTCATCTGTAGGCCCAATAATATGTGATGTCTCAGAGTCACAGGTTTATGATGGGACGGAGGACTGATTGGACTTTTTCCCTGACTGTACAGCAAATTTACTTAATCTCTCTCACCAGACACATAATTTATCTATGTCATTTACAACCAAAGTCGAGAAAAAAATGTGTTATTGTTATCATGTGAAGCATCGATCCAAAAAACATACAATACAACATGATATTCAGTGTGAAAAAAATGGAAAGTAATTTGAAATAACAGAGTAAAATAACTTTGTAAATTTGTCAGTTGATGGAAGAAAATTCTGCTTGACATATATTGACGAATTTTATATATTTTGACATTTGTTATACCAATTTAGGACATTTTATGATATTAAAAAAAATGTGAGGGTTAGAGATATATTTCAGTGTAAATGAAGAGTGGAGAAGTTAGTGTGGTTTGTAATGTGAGAAAGAGGCGATAAGGTGAAGCTTTAGGGTGTGATGGGCATGTGTTTGTAATATGACTATGGTAATACTGTACTAGTATCTTCTGTCTCTCTCTCTCTCTCTCTCTCTCTCTCTCTCTCTCTCTCTCTCTCTCTCTCTCTCTCTCTCTCTCTCTCTCTCTCTCTCTCTCTCTCTCTCTCTCTCTCTCTCTCTCTCTTCTTCTTCTTCGTCTTCTTTTCCTTCTCCTGGTTTAACAAACTCATTTCATTTTCTTATAGTCATTAATCTTTGAAAATGACTAATTTTACCAAGGCAAAATAAGTTTACGTTACAGGTAAATCAACTTAATTTTGTGATGAAGAAATTATGTGATAAATTATTGTAAATATTTAGTTTTTACTTCATTATTTGTTCTCTTCAGCGATTAATGATCCTATAGCTTATATTAACACTAGTGGTGTATTATAATATAACAGTCTGAGCAATACCTTACACTCCTCTTCCTATATCTCTAACTGCTATATTTTTTATCACCCTTTGTCTTCTTTTCCTTAATTTCACGCGAGGAATATTTTGTACAGTATATTCTCCGCAAATGAACAAATCAAATATTTTGAAGCTGAAACCTCAAAAAAGGAAAATGAAAATATCACTTTAGCTGAGGTAGGCCCGGTCGCCTCCTCACACACACACACACACACACACACACACACACACACACACACACACACACACTCAATTCATGTATCATCTCTCTGTATTTACTGGTATTTTATGTCACATGCGTGTATGTTATGTATTTTATGTATCAGTCACTGAAATAGTAAGTTACCATTTCTCCATTGATAAAAATAAACCCATGATTCTATTTTTAACATATCATTCTTAATTGATTTGCCGCCGAAAATGAACACAGAGAGGATCCGACGTCACTCTGAGTGGCTGGTCACTTCTGAGGGACACGAGACAGTCAGGTAATCAGGGTGTCGACGTGAAACTCTCAAGTCCCTCATTAACGATCTCAAACTCTCTGAATAATGAGTCTTGCTACAGTGATCATTACCCACGTGTTTTAGGCAAGGTGCATAATCCATTTTTAATATGTCTGTCATCATGAGAATCAGTGTTGCATTATGTCATTCTGTTTGTTGTTGCGTTCAACCAATCACAGTGTTTTATAAAAAGTGTGGAATAAATGTGTATATTGTGATAAAAAAAGGTGTAGGTATAGTTGAGATATACATTATGTCCAAGGTATTGAACTGTCCATACAGCCGTGAATATTAAAGTTGTTTATTTAGGGCGCTAGACTCAAGCCATCATTCTCATTGTGAATATCATTATTCTTACTCACGACACTTTATTAAATGTATGTCTGATTTATTATGGTTTTATTACCCTTGTGAGGATAAGTGAACCATTGAGTGACTTATTGTAAGGTGTTGATCACAGCTTACATAGTCCTGTTGGTCAGAGGTAACGTGGCTTCTCTCTCTCTCTCTCTCTCTCTCTCTCTCTCTCTCTCTCTCTCTCTCTCTCTCCCTCGCGGTTAAAGGCCTAACAACACTCTTTGACAAAACAAAAGAGGTTACGGTGATGATAAATGTTTTAATGATCAACTAAGCTCAGGTGTAGATATTGTTAAGCTTATGTCAGGTGTAGTTATAAGACCTAACAGCCAGTGTACTTCAGTGACTATAACACCAAGTCGGACACCACAAGACTTCTGCTCCACCAAATACTTCAACAGACATAACTACATAACTACACCACTTATTATAATATTCTATCAATATACAGTGTCTTGCTATAGTTATGTCATCAGTTACGGCGTGTTAAGGTTCACTTCTGGCACAGCAGTGGAGAAGATGAGAAGACATGACTACCTGACCTCTTCCTGGTGATGGTCTCAAGAGTGTTACATAAGACCCGTCACCCACCTACACTGTAACTCCCACCATACTCAGAACAACACCCTTACGCTGCTACCGTTAACTACCCATTGTTTCTCCCAGTATAACCTCATAAAAATATTATATGAAATTGAAATTCAATTTTCATGTCTTATGGAAAACATAAATTCCCCGACGCTGGAAGTTAATATTGATTTTTGGTGATTTTGTTATGATAGTGGGCAATAACCTGGAGAATATATACACGCACAAGACAACAGGCCCACGTGATAAGGCCTGCAAGTAGCCTTCTCGTGTCCTGCCCTGAAATTGTGTCCAGTGAAAGTTGCATGTTTATGTTGCTCTAGTGGCCAGCGTGGAGCACCAGCCGACACTCACATCTCTAGAAATACAATAAAAACAGTGTCATACTGTTTTTCGTGAACATTTCTTTATAAATTGGAAAACCAAGTGCAAAGTTTATTTTAATCACGAGTTTATTTATTGTAGATATTATGATTCTGAACCAATTACCAAATATATTTTGTTCGTGTCTAAAGGAATTAGTTTTATGCCACTACAACACTGATGGCGAGATACTGAACAGCTTAAAATATAATAATTACCCCAATTACGCTCCTGTCTTGATGATATATTGTTGATGCTATCAGTTGTCGTGTTGTAGTAGTCGGAAGTCAAAACACCAGCTACACTTTACCCTTTACGTCACAAACAAATTTGTGTAGAAAATTACCGCGATATTCGCCCGAAACACAGAAACGGGGCTCATTGTGTTTGGTTCAGAGACGCTGACGTCAGATCTGAGCCAATCTTATACCCTCACGGAATCTTCACGACAAGGCGCCCTCTCAGATACAGGGGAAGAGGGTCATTTAAAGAGTTCCCAGCAAGATAGGAGAGTTGCCACCAGACTTTTGATGTCACAGAAAATGGTGCAACTAGATATCACACATATTCTGCAGACCCGGAATCCAAGGTTGTAGGCTCCCGAGTTTGGGCCAGACTGTAAATCCACATCGTTCCACACAGGAAATGGAAATAAACAGAAAGAAATACTCGAGGGACCAATATATGCAGCACTGGGAGGACAGCGCTGCGGCTTTGCCAAGGTTTCATGTATTTACGAGTGTCGACCACACTGGGAAATTTGCTGGAAAAGGAAAAACGACGCCGGAAAACATCTGCTAAAATAACAGGTGATGTTTTCTTATACAACATATGTTTAAGAGCAGTCGATGTTGTACCGTATTACATTACCTGTGGTCAGTGAGCGTCCCTTTGTTTACTGTGAGTCCTGGTGCTCACTTAGAGGAGAACAGCGCTTGTGTGGGCAGTTAAGAAATCTGAAGTTTTAGGAACAGACACTCGTACTCAGCAGACTTTCCCCGCCAGGATTCAACAGAGAAGATTTCAGCTCAGCCAGAGTTAACTACTTAAGCTGAAGGTAGGTGAAGGAGGAAGACTCTTTACTTGCACCAACGGCAGCAACACAACAACCACATTCAGTACTTATCCACCATAAGTAGTGTGTTCAGACGAATACAAATTACATGTCACTTTGTTCATTTCAACGAACTAACCTACGTGAACAAATATTTAGTTTAGTGATGTCAACTTTGATGTTTATAAGTTGATGTTAATGAAATGACACTGTGATTTGCATATTAATGTGACACCAAAAACTTTTATTTAAGCTCGTATTCCTCCTACACAAGGCCGGGTATATTGCATTATTCTTTCAATTTCTCGTCTGACATTTAATAAATTACACTAATTACAATCTGATTCATGTTTCATTTATTTCATCATTTGGTCAGTAACATAAACGATCTACACTGACATAAAATGAGAGATTTATTGGGTAATATTTCCAATCATAAAATAAATTATAATCAGTTTGCTGACAATGGTGACGGGCAGTGGGTGACAAGGGAACCACGGAAGCTTTTTATATGTTAAGTGTGGCAGGAAACAACCTGTCCTTACCGTGACCTACACAGCCTGTCCTTATCGTGACCTACACAACCTGTCCTTACCGTGACCTACACAACCTGTCCTTATCGTGACCTACACAGCCTGTCCTTACCGTGACCTACACAGCCTGTCCTTACCGTGACCTACACAACCTGTCCTTACCGTGACCTACACAACCTGTCCTTACCGTGACCTACACAACCTGTCCTTACCGTGACCTACACAGCCTGTCCTTACCGTGATCTACACGACTTGCTATTAACAACATCTAGGTTATAGGTTGTAATAGAACATCTAACATAACATATAAACACAAGGACTCACCAACGGAGACACACACGTGGAGAATAATTAGGGTTAGAAAACGAATCAAATTGTTCCCAGAGTCATTACGAAAAGTAATTACCAAACTTAATTTTTTTTAACCTGAGCTCCTTAATCAGCCTGTTGAGGAGTTACCTGTAATGAGATTTTTAACGTACAGTAAATTATTTTTTCTTTGCAAAAACGGCAGTGATTTTTGGGGCCGAGAAATCATTTTTTTTTTCTTAGGAATTGGAAGTCCCCGAGTTAAACTACCCTTTTTACTGCCAGAATAAGAGACTTGCCAAAGATCGTAATCAAACATTTACATGAGGCGAATAGTTAAGACTGCAAAAAAGAAAAATCTAATTTCTGCGTCACTGGGTAATACAAGATGTTTTTAGGGTACAGTAATTATGTCTGTTCCTAAAATAATTTACCTCATCCATCCTGTCCCAGTTTGTAATAAATAAACCTCTGGAACGGTGGCCACTCTACTATGTAGTGTGAGCCACAGTGTAGTTTGTACAACATTTGGCTCAGCGTCTTAAGAACATTACAAGCCGCTACACTACTACTGTACACTGTACTCAGGTAGAGACACGGTGGGTCATAATTCAGTCTTAATGTTAAAAGCTGACCTCAAGTGGGAAGCATTTAGGGAAAGTAGTTGACTATTTTTTTTTTCATTTTATTTGAAGAAAAATAATAAAAACGAGTTTTTCACCTGACTTCTATTATAATAGAAGTCAGGTGAAAAAATAATTATTTATCATCCAATTTTAATAACCCCAAAAGAAATATTCAAATAAACAATATCTCTGAAATATAACATTTATCAACTACTGTTGCTAAAACGTATAATATGATAAAAATGAAAAACTATGAAAAACATTAGTGATGATGTACACTACCAGCACAAGTTTTTACAAAAGTGAAGGTGAAAGTGGGTCC